TCTCTCTCTCTCTCTCTCTCTCTCTCTCTCTCTCTCTCTCTCTCTCTGTTGTATTGTATATACAATATTATTCCAACACTGTATTAGAGAATTTAAGTCACTCTTGTCTTATCTCATATGACATTGTTTTGCAAATTAGTCACACTGTGATAAGTTACACTAGAATTTATTCGTGTATTTTGCACTATTTCAGGTATGGCCTCATCAATTTGAGATAGGTTTTCAGGAATGAAGGCTCACCACTGCTACTCCTGACAATCCTTATCCACCCTTCTTTGGTCTTTGCTGAAGGGCCTGTAGTCTTTCCTACCACAAGTATCTGCCTTATGGATAGCATGTGTCTTAAAATGTTGTTCAGGATTGTTTGGGTTGATGTTATATGCAATGAAAAAGATTTAGGTTAAGTAATTTGCTTTCTTTTCTCTAAAAGACTGTGTGTGTGTCTGTTTTCAATGAATGTACATCAGAAAGATTTCTTTGTAAATGTAATGTAATTTTTTGTAAATGTAAATGTCAGTTTTTCAAATTTTGCATTAGAGCACAGTCATTAAACCTAGGTTGAAATAGCTATAATAAGTGTGCAAATAAAATAGAGATATATTTTCTTCACTTAAAATACAGGTTACAATGGTAAGACTCATAAAAATTTAGATAATATGAATATCTTTCCAAGGAAAAACATACCAAAGAGTACTCTGTATTGAAGGGTCTCTATAATTATTTATTAACACAATTAATTCAAAACGGGGTTATTAAGTGTAACTTTTGTTCTTTTCCTTATTGTAAGATAATTTGACTAACCAGAGAAAACCAAATAAACTAGGATATTCAAGTATCTTTTCTTCCCAATTCAAAATGTAGCAACAAAAGAAATTTCAGCTCCCCCCCCCATTCAGCATTGGTTGTGTGTATGATATAAACATAGCAGTAACATTTTTCAACATTAAAAAAATAGACACCTAAAATATTGTTAGACTTTGATATGAAATACACTTATTCTCAAGCAGAATGTTATTCCTCCTGGCATATTATACTTCTAATAAAATATACATTTATATTCAAATGGAGATTATCTCAATTCATCCCCTCTTCAAACTCCCAAACAGGCTGTTCTACTATCCATTAAATTCCAGTGAATTGCTTCCCTGCGAACTCTTGTTTCCTGGAATTTTTGCCTCAGGCTAATATTATACCTGGTTGAACATCTGCTAAGATAAAGGTGCAAACTAAGTGCACTCTGAGGCACTGGGGGAGAAAAGCCATTTGACCTTTCTGTCTGAGGGCTCAGAACTTCATTAAAGCGCCTCTTGGGATTGCGGGCATAACCATGAGAAAGACATCATTTGTAATTAAGTCCTTCCCACTGGCTATATTCCTGTTGAACTCAATGATTAAAATACAAATTCAATATTCTAAATGGTCACAAAGCATTTGATAAAAGGTTATTTTACGCTTAATGCAATGGGGGAAGGGAGCTTTCCAAGGGCCCTATTCCTGCGCTCTCATTCAGTGACTGTTCTGCAGACCGACTCTTCAAAAGGGCAAACGAAATAATTAGGCAATAAATTGTTCAAATGTTAAGAGCTGTGCTCCTCCAGAAGCTGGTAAGTCCAAATGGATACCACAGCGAGTGATAAATAACCTCAGCTCCAGAGAAGTACATACCTATATGTGCCTATGTTTGTTAGCTGGGTTGCCTTTCCTTTTCCCGGGACCATCAGTTAACGTTCCCTTAATCAGCTCCTCTCTGTTTGTTCTGTTCAGAATATTCAAGCTGTTCTTTCATTTTCCCCAAATAAATTATCTTGTATTTCATTATTAGCTGTATTCTTCTCTACTCACATTCAGTTCCATTTCTTTAAAAATACTAGAAGATTTAAATTTGCACAATGGTGACTAATTAGAGATGATGAGAACTAATTGGAGATGAAGTGCATAAAAATCAGAATAAAATGAAGCTCAAAGAGATAGATGAACAGAGATGTAAAGAATTAGAATACTCATTTATTGACATTTTAAAAACATCTCCGAGTATTATCTGCATCTTCTCCCTCCTCCTCAGTTTCACATCATGACCAAGAGCATCCCTTTGCTTTTCTGTGATGTCTATGAGTTCTCTGAGAACATATCATCATATTCCTGCATCTTCAATTTCACCTTACATCATTGTAGTTAAAACATATCAAAAATGATTATTGCTACCTTTGAAACTGATAGTAAGGGAGATTGTTTGTATGTAGAAAATAAAGTAAGACAAAAAGAATGTTGAGTGAGTTAGAGTGTTTTGCATTTAATAGCCAATGGCATAAATAATAAACTTTCAAAGGTTGATTAATAATTTTGTTATTGTTATTGATCTAATATAATTAAAAGAAGCATAATACACATTTTTCTTGCATGCTTGGCTGATGAATGATTGTGTAAATGATAATCAATGAAGACGAATTGTTTCATTCTTTTGAGAATCCAGGTTGTGGTTAGTGAGAAAATACCGTCATTATCTTAGAATTACAGTATCAGTCACTTGAATATTGATTTTCCCCTTGTATCTGTGTGGTTCTTTTAAAATTTAACCAGTAATAGCTATAAATAAACATGGCCTTCTTTGTATTTTACTTCTGTTCTTTTCTTATAACTTTCAAAGGAAAGGTTGTCAAGTCTAATTGGGCTAGAATGATTTATATCTAGTCTTTGAAGGGTAAAATGGGTGAATTAGCTAATGCAGCAAGGTTGATATAGGGCAAACTTGCTCAGAAAAGCCTGGAGTGTAGAACTCTGGTTAATTTGAAACAATGGAAAATAATTTTGACTTGTTAGAAGTAGAAGGAAAGAGTTGAAAAAACTTGTACCAGAAGGGCATTTAAGCGGGGAGAGCAGTTAGGTGCCAAGATCA